AAATTATAGAAAATTTAAATTTTCTTCATGTCTTCTGATGGGGTTCAGGACACTCTACCCCAAAATGTGGCACCTTAGCATTTGAGAAAACAGCAGAAGTAGAAGGTTTCTCTGACTTTCTTCCATTTTTCTACCCTTAAACAGGCCATAAAAGAATTCTCTGACCTTCTTCTAAAAGTAGGACATAAGACTTTCAGTCCAGGGGTACCATCCTTATACCCATATGAAAGGAACCTCTTTTATCCTTAAAGGCACAGAGACATGGAGAAGTATCTGAACAAACAGGCTTTGCTAAGTTCTCTCCGGTTTATTACCATTAGATCACACTCCCTTTGTCTAATCATAGTTCTGCCTGTCCATTCTTCATCAAACCTAACATAAAAATACACAGGTTTCCTTGTTTCTTTGGGTCTTCATTTCTAAAGGCTCCTATGTCATATAAAATTTATATTAAATAAGTTTGTATGCTTTTCTCTTGTTAATCTTTTGGTTTGTTTTTTTTTTTTTTTTGAGACACAGTCTCACTTTGTTGCCCAGGCGAGTGCCATGGCATCAGCCTAGCTCACAGCAACCTTACACTCCTGAGCTCAAGCAATCCTCCTGCCTCAGCCTCCCCAGTTGCTGGGACTACAGGCACGCACCACCATGCCCACCCAGCTAGTTTTTTCTATTTTTAGTAGAGACAGGGTCTCTCTCTTGCTCAGACTGGTCTCGAACTCCTGAGCTCAAACTATCCTCCCGTCTTGGCCTCCCAGAGTGCTAGGATTATAGGTGTGAGCCACTGCGCCCGGCCTCTCTTGTTAATCTTCTGTTATATGGATCTCAGCCATGAGCCTAGTGATGGGCAAGGAAAAAACCTCTTTTCCCCTACACTTACAGGGGCAAAAGGGCAACTGGTGGTATATAAGGACATTTAGAAAACCAAGATATGTGTATGGTGATGTTTAAGGTTAATATATGAAAGACATATGGCTTTGCCCAAAAAAGAGTAAGAAACTGCTGAATCAACTCATTCTGTCCAGCCTTCATAGTACTTTTGGTATGACAGCAATAATCTTCAAAATTTTTTTTGAGTACCTCTTAAAATGCCTGCTAAAATCTAAGTACTTCTTTGCAGTTTTTTAGTTGACAATTAAAATTTTTCATAATAACTTAAATAGTTTCAATTAT